ATTAGGCATCGGCGAAGTGCCCATACATTCTTATTGTTAAACGCCAATCCTGCCTCCACGACCCTCTCGTTGCCGCTCTTCCCAACCCACGGAGGAAGGAAAGCTGTTTCCTTTTTTCATGACCCGACTGCTTTTTGTTATTCACCCACTCCGTCCTTTGTCCCCCCGCTACTCTGAGCACCCCGCATCGCCAGACGAGGCCCGTGTTTTTGCGTTGCCACTGATCTTTGGAAGACCAAAGATCGGCCATCTACCCTGTTTTTGATCTCTGGCACTGTCGTTGGCGTCGCCGGCCTGGAGTGACCAGACCATTTACCAATATCGTCGGCCACCGACTGTATCCGATATTCGGCGTCTAGTGCACGCGCGTACGCTACCCTACCAACTCTGATAAGTTGTGATTCGTTTCATGTTTAGGACTTGTTCTCGCTCACTTCGCCCTCAAGTCAGCATGCCGTCCTCGCGCGTGCGGAAGCGCGGAATTGGCTGTTAATTTGCGCGGAACGAATCGCGAAATATCGAAGTTCGTGAGGCCACGTAAGCCCGCCGGCGCAATCAAACGAGTTTTAACCACGGCCACCGATTATTCGAACACCGCCGCACGCACTAATCCAAGCGGCCATGCTTTGACTTCTGGCCCGTGCAGGCACTCTTTCCAAGTTATGTACGTGCGAGTTTCGCGGACCTTTCAAGCAAGCTACCCAACGTGCCTCCTTCCCGTGTGTTTTAGTTTTCAACGTTACCCTCCCGCCGCATCCTCCCCCCTCTTTATTGCAACTCCTTGCCCATCTCTCGCAAGTCTGCTCTCCTCTCTTGATCACAACCCCTTCGGCCGTCTCCACCGCTCCACGATGCCCGCCACGCTGACTCGAATTAGTTTCGTTTTCTGACTGGAAACGGGCTCAGAGCTGTTCCACGTGTTCTGGCACGTGTGTCGCGTGTGCGCGTCTTGTTCGCTCTTGATGTGCGTGTGTGGTCATGGTAGCCGACGGGAGGACTAGCATGCTTTTTCCTGCCGCTCAACAAAACGTCGAAAGTGTGACCGCTTCGCTTGAGCGTAATCCGCATGTTAGGTGGCCGCGTTGCGGAGCGCTTGCTCATAGCTACTGACCACCTGGCAGCCAACTTGCCGCTTCGGGCGTCCAGGTATTCAGATGAGCATAGAGATGGTGAATATTTTGTGGGCGGCACGCGCGAAACTGTTTTCGCGAGGCCGACTTTGTCGACGTCAGGCCCGAGGCCGAGCCTGAAGCTTCCGAACTGCGGCGGCGATTTAATGGCAGCGCGTTGTCGACTTTGACCCGGGAGAGCGGGCGGTACATCTGTTGTGGTGGTTTAATTACAGCCGACAATGAGGCCGACACTGCGAAACCGTGCATGGATTGGGGCATTGTGAATGAAGTACGTGGCGAAAGCGATTTGGAAGAGTCGGATTGCGAGAACGACGAAACTTTCGAGCCAGTGCCTCATGCAGCTTATGCCACGGGCCTCGGCGAACGAGCACCCAGCCGTTTCAAATGAACTCGAGACCGTCCCTTATCGCTTCTGCTCTTCGAAACACATGCATCACGGACTTTTTGGGGCAAACAAAGTTTGCGTTTTCACTCGCAACTTTTTTAAAAGCCGTGTTTCATTTACTACGCACTTCGGGATACAGCGAACGGACGCCGCGTCACGCTCAGGTTCGTTATAAGTGAGCTTGACTGTACGCGCTACTTCAACGAATGAGATTCGACACAGAGGCTCGAGGCAAGTGTCCCAAGCCATGATGAAAAAAAAAAAAATCTTAGCATACCACGGAGTGAATGATGATGAGTGAGGCGAAGCATCTGTCAGTTCGTCCGTGCTTCCATACGTTTATTTGTTCTTGCTTCCCTCCGTCCGCGCGACCATCTGTGCGTCCATCCATGCGTCCATCTCGCATCTTGCATCCCCTTTGGCACATACCTGCTCCCCTGTTCGTCCATCCATCCGTCTGTCTGCTAGTCTGTCTGTTCGTGCGTCCATGCATCCGTCCGTGCATCTATCTAGTGAACACTCCAAGTAAAGTCATCTCCCATCTCGCATCTCGGTGGCTACGATTGACAATGACAAAGGATGGACAAACCCACGCCGGAGAATGACAGACCCACGCCTTAGAGAGCTCCGACCCTAAAATCCTAGAGGATGAGTTGACACTGTGCTGTGGGGCTCCTAGCTGCGAAGACATAAGAAAGCAGCGTCGCTACAACTGATGGAAGCAGCCTAGCCACCCGGTTCTGAAGGATTTCTGCATGAGAGGCCCGGGAAGTGGTTGTCGACATCGGTAGGTCTCCAGTGAGGATGCCCGAAGTTGTTGTGCCTTTGCCCAGCAGTTCCTGGTGGACTTGCAGCTATCGCACGTCATTCCAGGGTGGTAGCAGCCCACACTTGTCGGCAGAGTGGGGCCGTCAACAAGGGAGTCCATGACGAGCTAAACCTAGCTTAGCGATGCTGAAGACAATGATGAAGACCAGGGCACCAGCGATGAGTACGAGCGGCTCATTCGGCAGGACCGACCGATGGTGCCTGTAGGAGGTTGAGAAAGACGTTGATGCACTTGATAGGACAAAAGAGAGGAGTCGACGCGAACAGTAAGAACGCTTGATTTCAGAGTTATTCAATTATACGAATTGTGAAACTGCGTTCCAAAATCCGGACACTCAGTTGGCCCAATATTTCGGGGGTTAGCTACATGTCTTTGTGTGATAACGTGTGCTTGTTCCAGATGCCTCTTTCTCTCATTTCCATTCTTCGCAAGCACTCCCGAGATAAATTTGTAACACCAGGCCGCTTTAAAACAATACAATTAACATTACCTGTACTTTTTTGCTTCATTATTCACTGGTTTTTATTAAGGTTGTGTCAGACAGTTGGGTGCTGGTGTGTCGGGAACAGTATAGCTCTCACTTGTGAAGTAGCCTTAGAAGACCGGCCAACACCAAGGGTATCCAGCAGGAGACTGGCTGGCTCCTGTCCAAGAGCTTCCTTCACTATGATGTCATGATAGGCACGCTGAACACCACCCATGTTCAGTTCAACACAATACGTGTTCTCGTACAAGTGCAGCCTCTTAGGCACATGAATGCAGCGTAACAGTGAAAGAGGTCCGCCCTATGTACGACTGACGCAGAAGCATAGCTAATGTTCCAGCCACACACAGTCCTACCGAGTAAGATTAACGTCCCCTTTTCGTAGCTCGAGTCATCGCAGCTACACGGGTTCGGGCAATTAAGGCAACAGGCTGGGTCAACAAACAACACTTTATCGTTATGTTAGGAATAATGTGTAAATGTGACATAGAGGGACTTCCGCTCAAGGCAGATAACCAAAGGTTGACGTTTAGGTCTTTGGCTGTTGACGTCCTTGGCTCGCAGGAAGTTCCAAGGCTCATCCTTCCTGCTTGGTCGCTGGTGCCATAAAGAACCTCTAGCAGTTGGCACGCTCATTTTCACCACTGTCCTGGTTTTCTTCTACCTCACGAGGGTTCGTTCCTTTGCTAAGGGAGGGAAAACTGTCTTGTAAGCCGAAAAAGGGTAATAGCATGCGCCGGCCGCAGGGTGCCCCATTCCTTCGCTAGAGGCTTCATGGTGTCATTTCTCGAAGGGATATATATACATGTCCTCGCAACTAGGCTGCCTCGCTGCTGTAAAAGAGAGAGAGTCGCTGGGTGCTAGTGCTTTCCCACAACAGAAATTGTACCCTGAAAGCTCATGCATAATTTGCATTGTAGGAGAAGGCAACACCCATTCAAATGCTTGGTCTTGGTCAGTTAGCTCATTTCCAGTGAAAGCTTTTAATTAATTGATCATTCAGATACGTGCATGTGAACCTGAGCCTTGTTTGGGTCACACTAGCCGAAGAGCAACTGCTTGTGCGGGAACTTCCACAACTCCAGTATTATTCAAAGCTGTGACCTCTTTCCTGTGAATGGCATAGAGTCACGATCATGGCATGTTCCAGGCCAGTGGTGACAGGAGGTTCTTTCAACTTTTCACTTCAGTTACAACATTACCGCCAAAGTGCAAAAAATGTGCGCAGAATATTTCTATGGTAGAATGTTTTGCACTACTGGGAGAAAACAACAATGAATAAGTATTGCGCACATGCTGCAGGCCAGGGTGCTGCAGGGGTGCTCACAGGTTGGCTGAGATGTGTTGGGGTCTGCATCTAGAGCTCTCCATGTGAGGGTAAGAAGGGCACAACAAAGGGAGCAGCACATTGCGTGGAATGGGTGTGCAATGCCAGCCTTTGAAGATTTTTAGACAAATGCAAAAGTGTGTCACCACCCAAGGTGTAAAAGATTTCACAGGGCTCAGTTCACACTTGTCTGAACCAGCACAAAGGAGGAGAGAGTGCTCCCACCCCATTGTCTGGCACACTCATCAGGATGAAAGGAGTGTTTGTGCCAAGTACCTGTAATTTTGCTTGTACCCGGAAGGTTCAAAACGTTTTGCCACAGGCAATGAAACCCAATAATAAGATCCTCCTGTGATTACATGTTAAACTGTTACAAGGTCCCTTTAGCCCTATTGCTCCTGTGAGGAAAAAGAAGAAGACTGTACTGAAAATTTGGGAGGGGGCATCATATTTAAAGCTTTTTTTTCTCTATGAAATTGTACCACTTTTTTCAATTCAGTGGTGTAACATCAAGTTTGCTTCACCAGTAGAGTGAAAGATGGGGCAGCAAGCAAGTGGCACAGCATGAACAAGTGGTGTGGCCATTTAGCGAGAAGCTATGACGAGCGTCGTAGTTGGTTCTCCGTGGAGGACCAATTTTTTTTTTTATGATTCTCATGATGACTATACTCAGTAACGGTAGAGAAAGCTCTTTTTTTGTGTGTATGATAATGAGACTAGATTTTATACTCTTACGAACACAATTACATTGCACTTTACTGAGAAACACAAGATGTCTATGCATTTGCAGAATCGTCTCTCTATAGAAGACTTCATTATGAATGCGTGTCATTTTTTTGCAGCTCAAACTACCGGCGGTGGAGTTGTTCAACTCAAAGACACTCAACTGGATTCTCTCGCAAGCCTTGAGCTCGTCCCTGCGAGGAGAGTGCCCTGAGGCCAGGAACCTGCGCTTGGACGCATGTCCTCTTGCCGTCTCTCCTGGTAAAAGGCCTTGCTGCTCGTAGTCTGGGAAAAAGCATTGGAAACACATATGGGCACTGTTGTGTATCCGAACATGTACATATTCCAACTCGGAACAAATTTGATCAGAGCCCTCAGAATTTCACTAAAATATGATGTCTGGTTGACGTTTGTCGGAAAAGCTATTCTGAGAGCAATCATTGCCTGTGGCAATGCCAATTTGATTTACATGTAGAGCAAGCATACTGAAATTCAGTAAAATTGTTGCAAAATTTTTGCCTTGTGTGGCTGCAGAAGTTTTGCTAGGATGTGGTGTGTTGACATCGCGTTGTGAGTGGCCCTCCAGCCCATCAATCCTACACAACCCCTCCCAGGACAAAAGGAGACGTGCCTTCTCCCCATCTGGTCTGGCAAAGGAGCTACAAATCGCCCCTCACTTCCCTTGGGGATGTAAGCGGGTTGTCGAGAAGTACCTTCATATTTGGTTGGAGCCTTGTGAAAGCCTTAATTAACCCAACCAGATAGACAGCTCTGTCAAAATGTTGGACCTTGCTCTCTGCCTCAACATGGGAGTAATCCGCACTCTATGGTGACCTACAAGTTCACTATTCCACTTGCTTGCATGGCAGTCAAATGTTTCTGTCTAAACTGGCATACCAAAAACTTTGCTGTTGTCTCTCTTTTCACTGATGTGCTTTTTCTCGATATACTCGGCTTGTACCGCCACATGTGCATGGGTATTATTGAAGCTCGCCGAAGACAAGGAGACAAAAAAGACAATGGGCACGAAAGAGTGCGCATGTTAATTAAGAAAATACTAATAAAAAATATTCTTGCTTTTTGTTTGCGTCGAATGCAGTCTGCACTTGTGTCATCTTGTTTCTGCAACGTGGTGTCATGAACAGGATAGCGGCAGTCTCCTCTTCCCACTGGCCACAGAATACCAGGATAAAGGACTGGTCACAGAAGACGGATGAAGAGGAGGCCCCAGTGCGAACTGACGGCAGCTAGATAGGACATTTTCAGATGAAGAGCTGGCGCAGACACGAAGGACGACACAGCCACTCATGAAGACTCGCCGCTGAAATCTGTAAGCGACCAACATTTCCTCAGTTATTCAAAATTAGCAAGGAAGCAATTTCGAAGAAACGAAAAACACTGAGGACGCAAACAACCCACCTAGTGAGTGAAGCAGAAAATAAGCTTCAGGAGAATCAAGACCCTACGGCAATATCGCTGCTAGCCAGCCAAATCAGAGGCAACGTCGACATGTTGAAGAAAGTTGAAGAACAGATGGGACAGTTCTATAACGCCAGAAACAGCCGAAGCCGAGTTTGCGAGGACCACTGAGTACAAATTAAGAAAGATTAGCATTCTACATAACATCAATGCTTACCTTTGCCGACAAGAACAGCGGGAGCCAGTGAGGGAACAAGTCACCTCCAATGACAATGCCAGGCAAGCGCCGCAAGCAAATGCAGTATAGCTACCAAAAGTAGAATTAATGAAGTTTGATGGCGACAGGATGAAGTGGCAGAAATTCTGGCATCAATTTGAATCGGCTGTTCACGTGAGAACAGAATTAAACGAGAATCAAATGTTCACGTACCTTCTGTCACCACTAACCAGTAAAGCGTCAGCTACCGTGGAGAGACTTCATTATTCAGGCAGCAATTATGTGAAAGCTATCGACATGCTCAAGCAGCAATACGGGAAAGACACTGCGCTTGTAGAAATTCATATCAAATAGCTAAATAACCTGAGCACAGTAGCAAGCTGCAGTGACTATGAAGGATTGAGTAGACTGTAAGACAAGGTACAAGTGCACACACGTTGGCTGGAATCCTTAGGCGTGAAAATCGAGTCCTAAGCATTAATGCTACTATCAGTATGAGAATATTGCTACATGCATACAAATTGAGATTCTAGGGGGCGACGCGTGTGTGTGCCTGACGAGGAAGACGAAGATTGGTCTCCGCTCGGTGTCTGGTCTACCGATCACGCCGCTGCTGCTGCTGGTTTGAAATATATTTCATCCACAGCCTCGTCGATACGGTGTCTCTCTTCCGTGACATATTTGGTGGAGGTGTAACGTTCCACGTACTTACCACGAAGCTTCGCAGTGGCCGCACCGTCCAGCCACCGGCCATGGCTTCTAATGATAACCCCCTCTCACCGCCATCACCTGGAGCGCCAGCTACTACGTACCTTGCGATGTCCCACCCCCGTGATCTCGGTACGTAGCAAATGACCGAGAGTGACAAGGTGGGCCACATACTCAAGGGCATCGCGGACGACGCTTTCAACTTGCTCGTGTACAACAAGGTCACGACCGTCGATATCATAATTAAGGAATGCCGCCGCTTCGAAATGGCCAAGAACCGCCGAGTTCAGCCTCAATTTTCACGGCTCCCTAACACGGCTGTCACGTCAACCTGTACCGATCTCGGTGCCGCACCACCCATGCACGAGAATGTCACTCGCATCGTTCGGCGCTAGCTTGAGGCGGCCCGTCTGGTGCCGTTTCATGCACTTCCACTCGACTAGGGCACCGTGCAAATACCTCCGGCGGTGTCATTTACTCAGGCAGTCAGGCGGCGAGAAATCGCTAACCTTGGTTTTCCTGTTGCCTACTCCATCTCCCGACCAGACTACAGACCGATGCCAATAAATGCACCACGCCCCGACCAATACTCTCTGCCCAGATCCCGCAATCCTACGGAATGAAGAATAGCAGACGACAAGCCAATCTGCTTCCGCTGTCACTGAGTTGGCCATGTCTCCCGCTACTGCCGCAGCACTTGGACGCCCCTCCATTGGAGCCAATTTTCTTCTTCTCCTCGGCCATACGCGAACACCCGCTGGTATTTGCCTAGCCGTGAGTATCCTGCTTCCGACGCACCTAACAGCCGCTCTACCGCGCAGTACAGAGTCATACTGTTCCCCTGTGGGACCGACCAGTGAATATGCCATGGACACTATCACTTGGGCTGCTCCTGCACGCGAAATCACCCGTACTCGCCTTCTGACCTCTCAAGAGAAGCAACGGCGTTTGTATTGCCAACTACACCATGACGTACACTTCCCGCCCGGTTCTTTGGTCCTGCTCTGGTCTCCGACTCGTCAAGTTGGCTTGTCAGAAAAACTGCTTACTTGCTACACAGGTCCATGCCGAGTCCTTCGTGTGATTACTCCTGCAACATATGAAATTGGTTCTGTCGCCCCATCGCCTTCATGTGCTCGACAGGCTACCGATATTGTACATTTCAACCACAGCCTCGTCAGTACGGCGTCTCTCTTTCGTAGCGATATATTTACCTGTAGAGATACACATGGTCATCCAATTGAAACAACGAGAATTGGCCGGTAGGTTTTCAGGTCAAGATCAGAATGCAACTAAACATCATGAAGAAACTCTGAAGCGTATGATGTGGTAAATAGAAGATTAAGTTGAGTAATTGGCTGAACGGAAGGAAAGCCACGGCAACAAATTGGACATAAGGCAAAAAAAAAAGGATAATTTTCGGAACACTACGGCAAAATTTTGCATATTTTGTGAGAATATGCACCGACTATTCTGATGACTGTAGAAAGACTATGCCATATAAAGAGAAGAAAATAAAGCTAGAAGCGTCTCATAAATGCTTCCGTTGCAAGAGGCCTCACCCAACGGCCAAAATATGCATAGCAAGCATAAGATGTAAGATTATCACATTATCCCTAATGGTTCGTTTGCATCAATCCAATCATGGTGTGAAACTTGGCATATGCAAATTAACTTCCGTAGAACTGTCCCCATGTCATTTACTAAACGCTCTTTTTTTCTCTTCTTTTGTTTATTCATTTATTCATTTCGTGGTGTTGCCCTGCCGCGGTGGTCTAGTGGCTAAGGTACTCGGCTGCTGACCCGCAGGGCGCGGGTTCGAATCCCTGCTGCGGCGGCTGCATTTCCGATGGAGGCGGAAATGTTGTAGGCCCGTGTGCTCAGATTTGGGTGCACGTTAAAGAACCCCAGGTGGTCTAAATTTCCGGAGCCCTCCACTACGGCGTCTCTCATAATCATATAGTGGTTTTGGGACGTTAAACCCCACATATCAATCAATCAATCATTTCGTGGTGCGTCTCTGAAAAATGTTTCTGAATACAAATATTCAGGTCTTTTATTCACTAAGGATCTGTTTTGGTCACATCACATTGAAGTAATGTGTAACCATGCCCTTAGAAGACTGGGGTACCTACACAAACTCTACATTTGGCCCCAACTAACGTAAGGCGTCTGACTTACCAAACGTTAGTTCATTGAGTACTCGAGTACGGCTCTGTCATATGGAATCCTCACAAAAAATCTGACATTAAAAAAATTGAATTCGTCCAAAAGGAAGCATTATGCTTCATTTATCGTCGCTACGTCAGGTATTTTTCTCCTAGTTCTCATCTTCATAGACTTCAGCTTACTACTCTCTTTTTTCGTGATCACGTTGAATCGTTAAATTTCTTTCACACTCTCATTTACACTCCACGATTTTCTTCACTCAGCGACTACCTCACACCTGCCAAAACCAACTTCCACCAGACATCATCATGATTTGAACATGTCTTCTTTTAATCACCTGAACTATCTCGTATAAATATGTTTTTTTTTTGTTTGCACCATTGAATTATGGTATGCGTTGCCCGGCCGTGTTAAAACTTTATCACAGTGATGAATTCATTTTGTGCATCACTAATCACTCATCCTCACGCTCTGTTCCTCTCGCTTTGTATTGCAATTTGTTTTGTATTTTGTATCCTCTCCTGTGATAGCCTATCAAGGCTGTAGTATAATAAAAATAAATAAATAAATATGTGGGGAAAGGCATGCAACGTCTATGTACCAGGGAAAAAGAACTTACGGCGCAGTGCACAGCAGCCATTCAAGGTAAAAATGAAAATCAGGAAGAGCAAGGGTTAATCTGCCAATATGCGACTATATCGTCAAGTATTTGTCTACTGACTGCAGTCGCAATAGCAGAAAGTAGAAA